CTCTACCCTCCTCTACCTCCTCTAACCTACTCTACCCTCCTCTACCTGCTCTACCCTCCTCTAACCTACTCTACCCTCCTCTAACCTCCTCTACCTCCTCTAACCTCATCTACCCTCCTCTACCTCCTCTACCTCCTCTAACCACCTCTACCTCCTCTAACCACCTCTACCTCCTCTAACCTCCTCTACCTCCTTCAGTACGTATTATGAGATCTGACCGTGTGTCAGTGATTTACACACAGCTGTGACAGAAGTACTCGGATATTTACTTCAGTAAAAGTACCAATACCACAAGGTAGAAGTACTACAGGGTAAAAGTCCTCAGTTGAAAATCGTACTTAGATTTCAAAATTAAAGTAAAAGTGCTCATCATGAAGTATGTGAAGGGTTTTTGTTTTTTCATTGCAGGTCTTAGTGATGTAGAAAGTATATAAATAAACTTCACTTACTTAAATATAATATATATATATGTACTGTATATACATATATATATGTGTGTGTGTGTATTTATACATCAGTGACTCATAGTTATTTGATGTAACTTTTATTGACAGCATAACTTGATAACACCGTTTGTAAAAGAAGAATTAAACCCATTTTATTTAAAGTGTGAGCTGATCATAGTTCTTCTTCTCTGGTGAGTTATGACGAGTCGGGGCAGCCGGATAACTGCAGGTCCAGAGCAAAGTCCTCCAGCTGGGAAGTGTAGTCCAAACACTCAGGAGAACTACAGGGAGACGGCAACAGCTCCACCAGAGCCTCCGAGTCCAGAGGGAGACGATACCTGGAGGAGGAAACACAGGAGGTCAGAGGAGGAGGAGGAGGAAGAGGAAGAGGAGGAGGAGAAGACGTTCAGATGAGAGAGTGGTAGAGAGACACTGACTTGAAGCCCTGGCTCAGCATGACCTCTGACCCTCTGGCTCCCATCACCAGGTACTGCTGGTTGTTCTGGATGTCAACAGAGCTGCAGGTGGCCTTTTTCACCAGCTCCACCACCGTCCCTGAACTCACCGCTTCAAACTCTGCAAAACCAACAGAGATCCAGGTAACAGTGATGTCACACCACTTAATTTCTGTCCAATCAGAGTGAGGCACGAGGAGCAGAGTTATTTTACCTTTATCTGTATTCTTCAGGACTTCAACTACGGTGGCTGTGTGGGTCATAAAGTCTCCTTCTCCTGCTGAAGACTTCACCATCACCTTATAGGCTGCAGGGAGATAAAAGGTCTAAGAAGAGTTCCTGAACGCCAAACATACGACAGAGATCCTCTTCCTGTAGAAGTCTGTGAGAAAATGACTCTACTTCTCTCTAGTGTCCACCAGGGGGCGACTCCTCTGGTTGTATAGAAGTCTATGAGAAAATGACTCTACTTCTCTCTTGATCTATTACCTCAGTAAACATTGTAAACATGAGTTTATGGTCTCAATCTCTAGTTTCAAGTCTTCTTCAATACAGCATGATGTTCATTTAGTACATTATGGTCCATTTAGAGTCACACAGACCATAAAGCAGGGGATGCTTTAGGGCGGGGCTACACAGTGATTGACAGGTCTCTACTATAGTGTTGTCCGGTCTGGGAGTTGTACGTGTTTTTATTTTACAACTTTAACTTTTTCACAGTGTTTTCTGTTCATGAAAAGAAAAATGGCGACGGACAAAAACAAAGATGGCGACGGACAAAAACAAAGATGGCGACGGATAAAAGGCCAAACTCAAGGCTTCAAAACATCAGTCCACATGCTGCTCAGCATCAGAACTCTGATCACGTATGTGAACTGTCATGAAATCTCATCCTCACCATATTTGATGTGCTGTCTGCAGGTCTCATTAGTACGTTTGGCTGCTGTCAGCGTCACATCGACGTTTCCTCTGAAGGCAGCACACGCCGCTACAACAACAACAACATATTTAATGTGTTGTTACAACTAAACACATAAACTTAAACACCATAAAACATGTCCCACAGCTACCTGTCATACACTGACACTGTTCATCCACACAGAGGCGCTGCAGCTTCTGCTGCTCGTAGGAGAACCGTTTGGTGCATTCACTGCCTGCAGGACAAAAGACATTTAAAAGGAACAATCCAACATTTTAATAAAATATCCTCCAGAGTGAGTTTCTGACGTTTCAGATCGTTTTATGGTAAATATCAGATAGAGAGCTAGGCTAACAGTTTCCCCCTGCTTCCAGTCTTTGTGCTAAGCTAGGCTAACAGTTTCCCACTGCTTCCAGTCTTTGTGCTAAGCTAGGCTAACAGTTTCCCCCTGCTTCCAGTCTTTGTGCTAAGCTAGGCTAACAATTTCCCCCTGCTTTCAGTCTTTGTGCTAAGCTAGGCTAACAGTTTCCCCCTGCTTCCAGTCTCTGTGCTAAGCTAGGCTAACAGTTTCCCCCTGCTTCCAGTCTTTGTGCTAAGCTAGGCTAACAGTTTCCCCCTGCTTCCAGTCTTTGTGCTAAGCTAGGCTAACAGTTTCCCCCTGCTTCCAGTCTTTGAGCTAAGCTAGGCTAACAATTTCCCCCTGCTTCCAGTCTTTGTGCTAAGCTAGGCTAACAGTTTCCCCCTGCTTCCAATCTTTGTGCTAAGCTAGGCTAACAGTTTCCCCCTGCTTCCAGTCTTTGTGCTAAGCTAGGCTAAACACACCCTGACAAATGAGATCATGTGATGAGATAGATTATTATTTTAATCACATTTTGACTTGAAGTCAGAAGCTTGATTGAGTTCATGAACACTAACTCATAATCTCATAATATGTTTAACATTAGTTTGATTAGCAGCTCAAACGTCTTATGATTTTGATTCTGAAGACTGTAGAACTACAAACATACCCGATAAAGACTACAAATCCCAGGATGCACAGCCACACTCACCTCTGTCCTGAGGCTCATAGACACTAAACAGGGACTCGCTTGCCCCGCCCACCCTGAACCTGGTTCTGATCCGAAAACCAACGCACAGGAAGACATCTGAGGGAACCTAGCAACCAGACAGGAAGTGACCTCAGACTAAACATTATGAGAATAAAATAAAACATTCTACTGGATTTACTTCACATGAACTCCACTTTAATCCGTCATGTTTAATAATTGTGTGTCATCTGTTGTTGTGTTTGTTGTTGTAGTTTGTTTATTGTTGTTGTGTTTGTCGTTGTGTTTGTCATTGTTGTGTTTGTTTTTGTTGTTGTTGTTGTTACTCACAGAGTCCATCTGGATGACCACAGTGGTTCCTTGTAGTTCGTAGTGAGAGATCATCGGCTCGTCTGAGTCTCTGAACTGAAAAACAACGATTCAGTTACACCTGAAGAAGAAACAGCTGTGATCAGAGCTCACCTGTCTCACTGACGAGCATGGTGTGATCAGAGCTCACCTGTCTCACTGACGGGCATGGTGTGATCAGAGCTCACCTGTCTCACTGACGAGCATGGTGTGATCAGAGCTCACCTGTCTCACTGACGAGCATGGTGTGATCAGAGCTCACCTGTCTCAGGTCCTCCAGGTAACCCTCCACACCTGTCGGCAGCTGGATCTTCATCACGGTCAGACTGGACTCGGTGGAGACCTCGTTAAGAGGAGGTTTGTACCTGAAACACGTCATTTAAATATAAATCATGTCTTTAATACACTCATCTGACATAAACAAGCTTAATTCATAAATAATGTATGTTATATTTCTTGATGCTGAGTGATGATGTCGAGGGAGAATCTTCAACGGAAACTTTCACATTTCTAAATAAAGTGACAAAACCATGAATATTAATATTCACATTAAGTATTCAAAGTTTAATATATTAATAATAATACTTCTCTCACTTTGCACAGGCGACCAGGTGAGGAGCACTGAGAGAAGGATCTGAGGAGGAGGAGAAGAAGGTCACTCTGAGAGCAGAGACACAGGTAGACAGAGAGACAGACAAGTAGATACAAGCTGCATCATCTCTAACTCAACAGTTGTGTTCTTATGAACTATAATATTGTGCAGGTTGCTATGAAGACAGTGTTGATAAAGTTGGGTTGAATATTACCTCCTGAGGTGTCGGGGCCCACTACCTCTATGGTGAGGTCAAAGTTACAGCTCAGAGCCGGCGAGGTGGTCTCATAGTAAACCGTCTTCATCTGGAGACACAGTGAGGGAAAGTTAAAGGGCATGCTGGGACATTTACACAGAGGGGAACTGACTTTAAACCACACCCACCTTCACATTGGACACGCCCTTCCCATAACCTGTGGACACAGTGATGTCATCATCCTTCGTCACCTGGGACACAAAAGAAACACAGACAGGTTATTAATCACAGCAGCACAGAACCCATCTCCCTCTCCCGGGTCTGTCTCACTGTCGTGCACCTGTCTCCCTCTCACCTGGATGGGCGTGGCCACGGGTTGGCTCTGGCTCAGCTGGACTCGTCCCAGCGATCCCTTCCTGCTGTAGCGGACGTTGATGTCCTGATTGAGGACGGCTCGAGGGACGACTTTACTGTACTCTGTTACCGCCTCCAGGGTCAAGTGTGTGTCCTGAGAGACAGACAGGTAGAGAGAGAGACAGATGGGTAGGGAGACTAAGAGAGAGAGACAGAAAGACAGACGAGAGAGAGACAGACTGACAGACAGACAGGTAAAGAGAGACGATGGGCCTTTCTCAACATGCGTACTTCTCTGTACTTGTGGACTCGTGGACTTGTGAAACGTCATCAGTCCCGTCAGTCTCAGCCCAACTACTGTTCCAATTCAAAGTTGACATCGAGCCAAGCACGGTATTATTTTACTGCGCATTAACGCAGTTTTTTTTTATTAAGCGGACATTTTTAACACAAGAACCGGGCAGCAAGCAGTGAACAGCTGTTTTGTGTGGCGTCACTTCCTGCACACACACACACACACACACACACGCCTCGTTACAGGATCAAATGTGACAATATTAAAACACATATATACATATATATATATACATATATATATATATACATACATACATACACACACACACACACACACACACAGTTGTGTGAAAAAGTGTTTGCCCCCTTCCTGATTTCTTATTTTTTTGCATGTTTGTCACTTAAATGTTTCAGATCATCAAACAAATTTAAATATTAGACAAAGATAACACAAGTAAACACAAAATGCAGTTTTTAAATGAAGGTTTTTATTATTTAGGGAAAAAAAAAATCCAAACCTACATGGCCCTGTGTGAAAAAGTGATTGCCCCCTAAACCTAATAACTGGTTGGGCCACCCTTAGCAGCAACAACTGCAATCAAGCGTTTGCAATAACTGGCAATGAGTCTTTTACAGCGCTGTAGAGGAATTTTGGCCCACTCATCTTTGCAGAATTGTTGTAATTCAGCCACATTGGAGGGTTTTCGAGCATGAACCGCCTTTTTAAGGTCATGCCACAGCATCTCAATCGGATTCAGGTCGGGACTTTGACTAGGCCACTCCAAAGTCTTCATTTTGTTTTTCTTAAGCCATTCAGAGGTGGACTTACTGGTGTGTTTTGGATCATTGTCCTGCTGCAGAACCCAAGTGCGCTTCAGCTTGAGGTCACGAACAGATGGCCGGACATTCTCCTTCAGGATTTTTTGGTAGACAGCAGAATTCATGGTTCCATTTACCACAGCAAGTCTTCTAGGTCCTGAAGCAGCAAAACAGCCCCAGACCATCACACTACCACCACCATATTTTACTGTTGGTATGATGTTCCTTTTCTGAAATGCCGTGTTACTTTTACGCCAGATGTAATGGGACATACACCTTCCAAAAAGTTCAACTTTTGTCTCGTCAGTCCACAGAGTATTTTCCCAAAAGTCTTGGGGATCATCAAGATGTTTTCTGGCAAAACTGAGACGAGCCTTTATGTTCTTTTTGCTCAGCAGTGGTTTTCTACTGTCTTCCTCAGTTGCTCTGCTTCCAGTGCAGCTTGTTTTAAGTAGAGCTTTTATCCAATCAGATCTCACCTCTGTGTCTCTAGGTAAGAAGAGAGGCAGAGGCCTGCAGACTCACAAGTGAATCCATGTGCACTTTAAGTGAATGGGGACGATATTGTTGATTGTCATAGTGTTCAACCAATCAGATCTTTAGTTTGACATGTTGGGCGTATTCTTTGACGTGTCAGAGCCTGCTAGCTGGCCTACAAGTACGTGATTGGTCAGTGGGTTAGCGTGACATGTTGGGCGGTGACAATCCCAATATCTGCTGCCTCTGTGGAGCTGACATTTTCAGCCTCAAACGCATTAAAACGTATTCAAGAAATACAACTGGGGAGGTTCGAATGTCTTCACTGGCGTCCATGAATGGAGAAGGACTTCTTACTGGAACTAAAACACACGGATGTACTGAACAACCGTGAGATTAAACTCTTTGTTAACAAAGAAAGGAGGACTTTGTCTTTAAATAGTGAACAGCAGCTCTGGTAAGTTAAATGCGTTTGTTTTTACATCTGCAGCAGCTTTAATATGCTTGTTTGTATATTATTATTTGTACAACTTGTTTTTATGAAGATGGATTTTTGTTTGGTTTAATATGTGATAGGAACTATTGTTATGTCCAGTGTTGCTCTGGGGACATATTTAGCCGGTGCCAGTGTTGCCAACTTGGCGACTTTCTCGCTAAATCTGGTGACTTTACAAACCCTCATGAAGACTTTTTTGTCAAAAGCTACCAGAGACTAATCTAGAGACTTGTTCTGGTGCTGTGACTCTGACGTTAAAGCTCGTTCGTTCTGCTCTGTGGTGACCGAGCAGCGGTGCTGCCGTGAGCCCCAAAGCTCTCACAGGTCAGTCTCACAGCAGCCTCACGCTGCAGTCAGAGAGGAGAGGAGACGCACTCTCTGCGTGTTGATGTACCTGCACTCTGCAGTTAGTGTGTTTAAAGGTGTTGAGCTTCATTTTTACACAAAACAAATAATAACCGTAGCTGTGTTTCAGCTGCAGGACAGCAGTGAAGGCCCAGCTATAACATGCACGGCCCGCCACTGATACATATATATATATATATATATATATATATATATGTGTATATAAACATATATATAAACATATACACATATATACATACACATATAATATAATACACTAATATAATAATTAGTGCTGGGCAACGATTAAAATATTTAATCGCGATTAATCGCATGGATGTTTTGCGATTAATCGCGATTAATCTCATTGTTATGGCAAAGTTCAACAATGAATTCAAAAGTAGTGTATTGCACACTTTTATTTTAAAAGTACTGCTATATGAACAAAAGGGCAATAACATTTGGTTCACGAGATGCAGGTAGCATGTTTTATACTTAATGTGAATATAATTCATACTTTCTTGGCATCTTATTCTGAAAACCGGATGTTCGTCTGAAGAAACCGGATGTTGTCTCACGTTAATCTTTCCGCTAACTTTCAAAGTCCTTCGCTCGCTCCCGATCTGTGCCGTTTAAATGCGTTTACGGTGAATGTCAGCATATAGGTGCACTAACATGTAAGTGTCTGCTGAGTTGACCACGGAGATCTGAGTGTCTGCTGACTTTACTGTAGCGATGTCCAGTAGTCTCCAGGGAGAGCAACAGCTGGTGCAGCTTCTCTCTTTATTTCTGCCCCCCTCGACCAGAAGCGGAAGTCGCCTTTTCTCTACGGCAACCCTCAAGGGACATCATATCTCCAATACAAAACCATAAACATGAGACAGTCTGTTACAATAACAATAAATTAAAAATACTTACCTGTTTTTTTTATTGTTTTATTATTATTTTTTTTTTTCCCATCCCAAAACACACACACACACACACACACACACACACACACACACACACACACACACACACACACACACACACACGTTCACACACACACACGCACACACACACACACACACATACATACACACCTGACTATAGGATGTTTGCTGGATTTATCCCACTGTTCTTGTCATCCTCTTGTTGTTATGTCTATGTATTGTCTCTTGTCTTTCAATTAAAATAAAAAATAATAAAAAATAATAATACATTTTAAAAATGCGTTAACGCGCGATAAAATAATTGTCGGCGTTAATTAATGAATGCGTTAACGCGAAATTAAGGCGTTAATTGCCCAGCACTCATAATAATATATCATTTTTATTTTAAATGAAAACGAAAAAAGCAGGGTTGTCATATTTAGTTTGATTGTAAAAATACTTTACAGTAAAAAAACAGATTAAACTCATGAGAGCAGCTGAGGTGGTGATGTCATCAGTAAGCTGCGTTCTCTGGACTCCAGACTTGTGAACTTGGGTATTGAGAAAGGCCCAGAGAGAGAGAGAGAGAGAGGAAGACAGGTTGGAGGTTGAAGGTCACCTCACAGATAGGAAGAAATGAACATGTGTGTGTGTGTGTGAACATTTTGTTCTGTCCTCACGTCTTCAAAGGCTCAGACGTGGCTTTAAGGTTGAGGTTAGAACCAGGTTTAGTTTAGAGTACTGATCCGGGTTGTGGTCCGGCCTTAAGGTGTGACAGTGAAGGTTTGGGTGAGGGGCCCCAGAATCCTTTATCTTCACGAGGGTCCTCACAAAGACAGAAGTATAGGGTTGTGTGTGTATGTGTGTACCTGTATGGAGTAGAAACCCTCTCCGTAGTGCTGATCTTGGGTCAGCCAGGACAGGATGGGGTTGGCGTAAGGGATTCTCCCCTTTAACACAAAACAACAATCAATATTATTATTATACAATAAAGTAATACATATAAATATATAAAGTGTTTCTTCACTGTCTATTTACATCTATGTGGTTGAGTCCATCAGGCTCTCATCCACTCGAGATCATCAGTACGACTCTTTACTCACACTTCACCTTGATACTTCTAATATTGAATGTATACGTATATGTCTGTATGAGAAGATGAAGATGAAGATGAAGAGCTGTCAGACCTTCATGAGCACAGTCAGCAGGACGTACGCTGTCGCCTCCACCGTCAGACCGCTGGATTGGTCGGGTTTCAGCCAATCAGCTGTCACGCTGGACTCCTGCCAATACCTGAGAACAGCAGGGTGACCTGGAGACACACACACACACACATATACACACATACATACACACACATACACACACATACACACATGTACACACACGTACACACACACACACACACACATTAACACACATACACAGACACAAACACACTCACACACACACACACACACACAAACACACACAAAATTAACACACATACACACACACACACATACACACACGTACACACACATGTGCACACACACATATACACACACACACACACATACACACACGTACACACACACGTGCACACACACATATACACACACATACACACACACACAAACGTACACATACACACACATATACACGCACACACACACACACAATAAATGGCAATATAATATGAACAAAATAAAACAAGAAAATAACAAACAATAAACTTAAGTGACGAAAAACAAAGAAAGTAAATGAATGAATAGATCAATAGATACATAGATCAATAGATGCATAGATACATGAATAAATAGATACATAGATGAATAGATAAATAGATAAATGAATA